AAAAAACAAATATTTGAATTTAACCAAACGTGTTGTGATATTTTTGAATCTTCAACAAGTAAATCCGTCTGTAAAGATCTGTAGAAATTAACATTAGAGGGGGAGAGGGTGATAAATTGACTAAAGGGAAACACTTATGTATATCTGTAAATTACGAGTTTTTACAAAGTTGTTCAGGGACAGTAAGTTAGTAGCGATATCACGCATGACTCGTTCTCTTGACTCGTTGAGGTTGCTTTTGCTACCAGGTGTTCCGACAAACTTTGCCAATTAGACAGAGAGAGAGCAGAGCTTTGGTCAGCAACCCCGCTTGCCTGGCGTGAACATCGGAACAGACAAACTTAGTTCCGACCAGGACAAACTTAGGTTGATATACCATCCCCGACTATAAGTTTGAGAGTAGACGTCACATTAAATTTTAAACTAATTTTCTTACATTATTAATCTTGTCCTGTCTTAATTGCGATTTTAAGATTGAATCGAGTTTGGCAATTATATGAAAACTCTCATTTAAGTAATTCTTCCTCAAAAATTATACTCGTTAAGTTTTTTTATAAAATGCAATTGTTTATTTTAATGATTAAACCAACCGTAGTATATTGTAAGTTGGCAATATTGTAATTATAAAGTTAGGGCTTGGTTTAGATTTAATTTGTTCTGAAATATATTGCCTTTTTGTCTACACACTATACAATAGCAACTCGGGCTCGTGCAACAATAACACAATAATAGTTTGGAATCGGTTTGAACAGTGCTCAATGACCCTTACTTTAACCAACACTCTTATTCTGTAAGCATCGTGAAAGGCAAAAATGTTTGCGCGGGGTTTTCTCCACACAAAGTAAACTCGGGGGGTTCAAATAAAAGGACATGATAAATCTTTTACAAACGCTTTACACCGGGCTTTGTATAATTTCCGCTGAGACCCAAGTAACGTTGAAAGGGCTACATTCATTTACGCTAAAGGCTTTACACCTGAAGTCTGTTTGATCTTAAATTTGTTATTGGTTTTGTATGCTGTTAACGACGGTGATGGTAAGTTAAATATAAAGTCAAAAAATTGTTATATGAAACACCAATTCCGACTATTCAGCCCTTAAAATGCTCCTTTAATATTTTAAACTTGAAAGAAAGCGAAATAATCGTATTTCTTTATCTACGTATACCAGGTTATTGGTGTTAACCTGAAATATTATTGATCTTTGAAAGCAGTCTAGTTAACGAGGATTTTGTTTGCGATAGTAAAAAAAATAGTAACTAATTGATTTTCCCTTGAAAAGTTAACTGATATTTGTTTTATATGACTATAGACTAAATTTAAATGCGTCACAGTTTTCGTTTGGATACTTATGTTTTGGTGCCTATAAAAGGAATCCCAGATAATAAATTGTCCTTAATATACAAGATAACATTACTGAAAAAAACTATAAAATCCAATTATAAGAGCGTAAGTTCAGTAAGTAAGAGCGTAAAATTGAAAAGTCATAAAAAAGCTATTTGTTAAATTCAGAGAGAAGAAATCTCAATTTGTACGTATGCACTCGAAAATGCATATATATTTTTAGTGGCCTCTTTCAATCTGACATTTGCTTATCCACATAAGCCTATTACATATTACACAATACAATAATAACAAATGTAGTGAAATAAAATTTTATATAATTCGAGTAATTAATTATTTCTCCGTATAGTCAGGTTGGGTAGCAGGAAAATATTTCAGTTCAGGCGGAGAGGCTGCAATTTTGGGTGGTTATAGTATACAAGTTTCTGAACTTAAAACCGCCCAGACCCCAATTTTTAAGGACCTCGATCGTCCGTAATGACGTCATCAAAATGGTGGCCGTAAGAGGATGTTGGGTCCCCATGAATTGGCTATAACGACCGAATGCCTCAACCGATTTTCATGAAATTTGGCACACAAGTGCTTGAATACATTATCTCGCCCTGGGTTGAAAATGATCAAGTTTCATCAAGTCATTTCAAAATGGCAGCCCCGACATATTTGATACGTTCCCGACTGAATTCAGACGTGGTCGCTGCGGGGGACCTGTCCCCTCGCCAGTATGGATTCAGGATGGGGCGATCTACGGTTGACGCTGTTGAGGAGGTGAAGCAAGCCGTGATGAGAGCTGAAGATTTTAACCACTACTCTCGTAACTCTCGATGTGCGAAACGCATTTAATTCCGCGAGGTGGTGCGATATGCTGGATGCTCTGGAGAACACCTTCCATGTTCCGGCATACCTCATGTGTATCATGGAGGATTATCTCCGGTTCCGCCTCCTCATGTATGAAACTACAGAGGGCCCACGGACGATGCCACGATGTTTTTATTAATATTTTAATATATTGGTTTATTTTAAACCAAGATATTATTATATTAATAAAAACTCACTTTATTAATCTCCTTTTAGCAGCAAACCTAGGTACTCATGAAACCTAATGTTATTGATATTGATTTAATTGAAAATCAAATCAGGGAAATTGAAACTCACTTAATCTGCAGGTTTGCTGTGGTGGGAGTATTTGGCTTATTCCATGAAATGCAGAGACGGTAATGCAACCTTTGATTGCAAGGAAAGTGAATAGGTTGCTGCAGATCTCTGGAGGGAGTTGAGAACACAAAACACTGAAAGATTATTTTTTATTTGAGCTTTTAAGGGCCGCCATTTTGAAACGACTTTATCAAACTCGACCATTGACAACCTGGGCCGAGCTAATGTATTAAAATACTTGTGTGCCAAATTTCATAAAAATCGGTTCAGGCGTTAGCCAATTCATGGGGACCCAGCATCCTCTTACGGCCGCCAATTTGATGACGTCATTACGGACGACCGAGGTCCTTAAAAATTGGGGTCTGGGTGGTTTTAGGTTCAGAAACTTGTATACTATAACCACCTAAAATTGCAGCCTCTCCGACAGAACTGAAATATTCTGCCACTATATGCAGCTATAAGACCCCACTAGTTGAAGAGAACTCCTCCAACTTCCATCGAAACTAAATATGGCAACCATGTTGACGATCTACTCGTATTTCTGCGATCAATCGGAGTGTAGGAGTTGTAAACACCCTAAGTTTAATACATCGATCTCTATTAGAGATCGATGGTTTAATAGGGTGTTTAAAAAGTCTTAACACATCCAAAAATAAATTAAATGGAATAAGATACAATTTTGCATATCATTATGATGAAGTTGCGAAATTGTATCTTACGCCGTTTAATTTATTTTTGTTTGTGTTAGGACTTTTTTAACATCCTGTATAATATAAGTAAACATAAGTGTATTCTGTGAATCAATCAATAAAAAGATTATATATTTGCATAACGATACGGATGATAAACGTTTCATCAAAACTCGCAATGCTGGTGTAAAAGCTAAGTTTTGAGGTTATTGATTACTTACAGTCTGTAATTTATGAGGTACACTGTGTACAATTATTACACTGAGTGACGAACTAGTCAGCAGTAAAATAGGTTTATCTGCTGACGCAGCACGGCAGCTCAGCATTCTCTGATACACGCCTCACGTCGTCAGACTCAGCACACAACGCTGCACATTTAAAATTGACTTCTTGCTGTTTCCATCATCTTGTACTCTACACTATGTAAAGAGTGACGCGCTAGTCAGCATTACAGTAGGTTTATTTGCTGACTCAGCTTGGCAGCTCAGCATTCTCTGATACACGCCTCACTTCGTCAGACTCAGCACACAACGCTGCACATTAAAAATTGACTTCTCGCTGTTTCCATCATCTTGTACTCTACACTATGTAAAGAGTGACGCGCTAATCAGCAGTACAGTAGGTTTATTTGCTGAC